GAACCAGGATGAAGAAATGGATTTTCTCATATCCAGTTGACTTGTAAAAGCAAAGGAAGTTAAGCATTCACGACTCCAATTGATAAAGAGGATAAACGATATTATCTTTGTATTAGCGGCTGTGCTGATGTTGCTAATAGGAGGTTGTCGTAATTAAAATTCTCAGAAATTTCGTGCATTTCTTATTTTTTCAAATTCAGAACTTTGTAGTTAAACGGTTGACGCGGATATGAGAGGGAGCAGAGCACAATTTCCTTCTTTATCCATCTCCAAGAACATAATAATACGACGAACCAGTCTTCAATTTTCTTAAACATGCATGCTCTTGGTTAATTGCAAGGAAGTTAGATTTGACACGCTATTATGTTGGTAAGATTTGGCTGAGGGTTTCACAAACAATTAGTTTTGTCCATTAACTATGGTCCTGAGTTGCCACTTTATATCTTAGATAGAACGATGGTTATAACATAAATGGCTGCACTTCAAAATGATCAATAATTTCAGCAACTACGCGTATCTACATTCTTACTTAAGCCTACAACGAAGAGCTTTCTGGTTCAGAATTCGATTATAGAAAGGTATATCTAATAATTATAATTCCCTCATTTTCCACGGGATTACCTGGATAAATGTGAGAATTGATTAGTGAACTATCAATTTGTTATCAAAGAAGGGAATGTTGGAGTGATTTCATTCCCAAGCATTCCAATGTCTGAAGGCAGCGGAGTTCTATTTGATATGAAGGCTACAAAATAATTAAACAAAGCAGTCAAAATGCAAGTAAAGATGCTTCCAAGGGACATTTCCTGTTAGGGGATAACTTACATTCCTCTCATGCTAGGAAGGATAAACTTTTACACAGTTCCAAGGAAGATGTGGTGAAATTGATATGAAGGATATACTGTTATGCATCAGTTATCCTTTGGCATATCAATATCAGTTCATCTTTAATTATGGTTGCATGTGTTGCTTATAGCAACTGAAACAATAATATCAATTATTCTTTTTATTTTGTTGGTACTCTTGATCAAGTAATATACAACGAATAAAGATGGATTGAATAATTCCTATTTCATGAATCATCACCAGAATTATAATATTGTAATAGCTCATAGAATTTGAGAAGGCGCAAATTGTTCTCTTATATGATCCTCATCAATATAGTATGTGGTTCTAAAAGGTTTACAATATGTGTAATAGCATCTTGTTTTTGAAAAGGATTTAGATATACTACACGGGTACTCTCCAGTATATTATGCTGGAACTTTTCGTGTTGCAGCAAAATAGTGGGTACTTTTCAATGACTTTGCAAACGCTGGCTATTTTTGAATGACCAGTCCGAAATTGGCTAGCCCGTGCTATTTTTACCAACTATTACTTATCCACCTTGAGCTCGGGCCCGGGCTCAGCACGGGCTGGCTCATAACTAGTTCCTACTATTTAGAAGCGGGAGTTAGCAGCTCTTCGTCGTCCTCTCAGGGTATTTAAGGAATTTCGTTTAGAGATATTCTTAGTTTTACAGATACCTATTGCTTCCGTCAGCGTCTTCCCCGTTAATTTGCAGCGTACCTATCTCGAAGCATGTTTGATGATTCCCCTTTTCTGTCGTTGTTGAAGCCAATGGATTTTGAGTCAAAGTTCTATAAAGTTACACGTAGTTAATTTTTACACAGACAGAGGCTATTTCGAAATCCCTAGTTAATCTTACTGATGCTGTATCTCTTCTCATTTTTCCCTTCTCTTGTCATTTTACCTTTGAAGTGTGTCTATTTATGTCTGGTTAGCGGTTGGGTTTAAATTTGATCATTGGAAGGTTGTGGTGTTATCGATGGCTGAAAAGGGGAAATAGAGTGCTTCTTCCATGTTTGTTGGCTGAGTTTGGACCCTAAAAGAGACTGATAGGTAGTGTTAATTTTGCTTTTGACTTTTCTTTGTATTTCTTTGTCAATTTTCGAGATAAAAATCAGACCTTTCAATTGCCCTCACAATTAACGGTATGAGAGTTTTCCTATTTAAAATAAATAAGATATAAGATGATGTAGAAGCATTCTTTTGCTTATTGTTGCACATTCTTGCTCTGCATAAGTTTTTTTTTGAAATAAAAGAAGTCACAATATTATTTACCCCATGTAAGTGATTGGTTTTCATACTGCTTCTCCTGAATGAACACAAGTTATATTTTTTTTTGATAGGTCTGAGTGAATCACAAGTTTATACTTATACAGGCACTCGTGATTGATTGTACATTGAATTTTGCTGTCTATCTTTGCTTCTTTTTCCTTTATTATTCTTCCGTGTTTCTCTATTGGAGAATTTCTATTTCACAATCAATATGAACATAGTCGTGTCTGAGAAGTATCTTACTTCTGCACCTAAAAGTGGCCTTGTTGCTCCCAACAAGGTTGAATCCAATTCAGGTCTAAATGCATCTTTTGGTGTGTCATTGTGGTTTTTTTGAAGTGTTTGTGCAGTATGTCATCTATTCTTCTTGTGTGTATCATCTTTCTATTTCAAATATCTTGTTTAAGATAAAATTGCTGAACTTCTTGCATTGCTGATTCTTAATTGTGAAACTATGACTACTCAAAAGAAAATATCATTCTTATAATATGCTTTGCCTTGGTGAAGTCAGTCTAATTGATTAACTACCTCTCCGGGAGCTGCATTCACTAGTGCAACAGTATTCGGGTATTTTGTTACAGAATGAATATAACAACCGAAAAATTGTGGGAACTAGAAAATTTTGCTGCATTGTAATTTTTGAGGTTTGAAAATTGTTTTTTCACATAGAAAACATTAGATTTCTATCTTCCTCCTTTATTAGCATCTCGGAGAGAAAGAAGAGGAGAAGAAGAGGAAGTACGATGAAAGAGTAAATAAGTTGCTTGTAGCGATTGCGATTGCTTATTTGGTACAATATTTGTGTATTGAAAGAAGATGTATATGACAGTTTTTAAAATGGGAATAAGATGACTTTCTGGTTGCTATTGGATTGTAATAGTAGCTTGTCCATGCCTTTCTATATCTAAGCAGAAAACATGATTTGTGCTGAAAAATGTTAAGAATTAGCTTACACCTAAATGCTCAAAGTCTTATTGTTTTAGATACTTAAATCTACCAAGATCAAGTAAAACGGCACAAGTAACAAATGAACCGAGTAAAGTAATAGAAATAACAGTAAATAGAATACACAAAGATGGAGAGAAAGAAAGGGAGTCGTTTCATTGTTGTTCTGCTGTCCAGTCCAAGATGCAAGGACCCAAAGTCAAGACCTAAAGGTTGTCACGATATGCTCTGCTCAGAGGCAACACATAGAAAGTTTTTTATCCTTTGATTTCTAAATTTCAGTTTTCAACAACATATAAGTTTGCCAAAAAGTAAGTCGACCAAGTTAATCATATTGTGAACTAAATCATTAGAAAGGAACGACCATGCATCTAGAAAGTGCCGAGTTTAATTTCTTGAAAACTTGAAAGTGCTTAGATAACAGTCTGCGTTATAAGGAGCATCCTTGAGAATGTTTATCATTTTATTTCAATAGTGAGTTGATTAACAACGTAATCCCTGTCATGACTCTCTTACTCTCACTCTGCATAATAGACTCTTATTACACCAAACTTCATGATAGAATATTGGACTCTACTGTGTATGTGCTATTTTGGATTTTTGATGGAGCCTCAAGAATGGGAATTCGCTTCTGAGAGAAATGCATATCTTTTTTAGAGAATAAATTAAAGGCTTCACTTTATTTTAGAAAAACTACTTATTTATCACCTTTATTAGTCAGTACAGCTAAAAATCCTACTCTTTTTAGGATACACAGCCTATTGTGGCTAAGAGATATGGAACTAATTTTTTGAGTTTCTTGTTTCTTAAGTGATTGAAGAGACAAATATGATGTTATACCAGTTCAGATGACTAACATTTTACTTTGAACATGCTATTGTAAAAAAGTTGTTATTGTTAATGAGATTTTAAAGCTGGCTATAGCTTGAATAATCTGTAATCTGTGTTGAAAACCCCGAAGGGCTAGATAGAGATAAACCAAAAAAGAATATAGGAAAAAGAAGGAAACAAAATTAGCAACTTCAGCTGCAAGAATAATAATATGGCCAAGTGCATTTCACATATGATTGCTCATAGACAAGTTAAGATAATCTAAACTTCAAAGAAAACAGAGAAGGAGGGAGTTTGCAACTAATCCTGATGTGCTAAGACTTAAGGCAAAAAACTGTGCTCCTGAAGAGCACAGCAATTTATCAGGGACCTAATACAGCTCGTAGAATTGCATCAACAAGAATAACTACATATTGATTTAGACACTCACACAATATATTTTGTTTCATTTTAATTTGACTTTTAATGCAACTTAAAAGTTAATCAATTGTGTTATTAGTTCTGCAATATTTTGAATCAGGTTGTATGGATTTTGTTCAGATTTGATTTACGGTATGTGAAGATTTGATTTACGGTAGGTCCTCAGGCCCGGGCTCAGCCGGGCCATCTCTAACTAGTATATATAATAAGTGAGAGTTGTGGTACGACGAAGGGTAATTTTGGAATTTCCTGAGTCAGCTTCTTATAGACACGTATACGTTGTAATACGACACGTATTGCCATTTAGTACCTCCCGTAAATTATTGGCCCTACTCCCTTTATTGTTTCTTCTCTCTCACACTCTGTATTGAGAACCTCCATTTTTCTGAGTTTCATGTCTTTTTCTTGTGCGTTTGATATATATATATGTTGAATTCTTTCTATAGGTTTCTATTTTTTGGGTTAAGACTTGTATGTTTTGGTCAAATTTAGTAATGGGCATCGATGCAAATAGTTTCTCTTGAGAATTGGAAATTGCATTCTCTTGCTTATGTCCTTGCGCTGCGCATCTCTATCAATTGCCTCCATAAGTCAGTGAGTTCGAGTTGTGTGATTCGGAAAAGTTCACAAGAAAATTTTGAGGTATAGTTACTTTTCTTTGTTCTTTTGGCTAAATTCGTGTTTACTTATACATGGTTGCCAGAGATTTTTCCTGATTTGCACATGTATGTTTGAAAAATATGTAGGTGGTTTATTTTTAATTGTTATCTAGAAATCTAATCCCCTTTTCCCCCTCCTCAATAATAAGATGCTTTTGCGACAAAATGTTTGATGATATGCCTGAACCAAAAAAGATTTCTTAGCTACCCATTAAGGTGTAATGTTGAGAATAAAGAGATTGTAGAAGTCTCCTTGTTTTCAATATTAGTAGCTCTGCCTTAGAATTGTAACATTACATCGATAGTGATTTCGAGATTAAAGTCTTAGCTTCTTTCCTGGTTGGTCTTAGATTATTCAAGATAAATAGAGGGAGGGTGATGGGGCAAGGAAAGGAAAAAGAAGACAGAACACTTCGGACAAATTGCCCACACTTGAGTCTTTAATATCAAGAAATATCCTAATATCTCTTGAAAGGCCTCTAATCAAGAACCAACATTAATGATAAAAAAGGCAAATGCACCATATGTAGAAACGCAAATGGACGAAAGGTAATTAAAGGTAAATAACTAGGGAAAAAATTAGTTAACAAAAGCTCCACTTTAGTAAGAGAAACCATGAAGGAAGGAAGCCTTGAACATTGAATAAAAGCTGATCAACCATAGAATATGAAATCGTGTTTAGCATATGTTAAGGTCGCTATTAAGACTTCATCAATATTTTTCATCAACTTAACTCATGACAAGGATGATACACTGATAAGTACAAAATAATACTGTTCAAACATAAGGTGAACTTAGGAGCATAAATCTTACATTGATATAGGAGCTTGAATTTGCTTTATTGTGCCAAATAAAACTGTGATAGATAAGATGTTTCGTAATATAGAAACTACTTTATGGATAAATTGTAAACGTGTCTTCTTCGATTAGATTCACCACGTAGTTTAGAGTGATATGGTCCATTATCCATTTGTCATCCTATCGAGCTCTTGTTCTTTTCTTTAATTATATTTGAGTTTGATTACTCTTCTGGTGTCTCTCAGTTGAAACTTATATTTTGAGTTAAGTTCTATAGCGTTCCGGTGAGTATCTTATTTAGTTTATGTTGTTTAATTATTCCTCCGAGTTTATGTAACCTTTTCTTTTTGGATTTGCTTGATATCTGTATTCCATGTTCTTTGTGTAGTGTTCACTCTCCAAAATACACGTGTATCCTGGATTTTTGATAAGCGAGACAATCAGTGAGCCTGACGTTGGAAGAGAATATTTCTGAGTTTTGCTTAGTTTTCCTCTCTTCTTTCATGGTAAGAATGTAATCTTTGATTCTATTCTGAAAGACTATCGATCTTCATTTGCCTATGAAATTCTTTTTGGATTTTTTTCTTTGTTTTTCTTTTTGATACAATATGTATGATTTTGAATATTTGATTTATACTTATCTGTTTTTTCCTCTTTCTACATGCTTTCTAGGTGGATTTTGAACATGCATGTGGTTATTTTATCAAAATATTCTAGATTCTGAATTGCTATCAGAAACAAAAAGAGTAGTGAAAGGTTAGGGAACTTTCTTGCAGCAAAGGTGTTCGACTATATGTCCGAAAGTACTGAATAATTGTATACTCGATTCTTCTCCTGTAGGGGTGCTATAATATAAGCAATCTTCATTAGTAAAAGGTACATTACTTTCTTCCAGTAACAGAATTATTGAAAAATATACTGTGCATTATGTTCTGTTAACTATGTGCTTACTTCTGGGTCTATGTTGTAGCAGAACTTTTGGTGGGTTCCTTGGGTTTCTTGGTCTTTTCATGTAATATGTCTGAATTTCTCTCCATTTTCTTGGCATTGGAGATTGTCTAATGCCCTTAGAATTAGGGATGATGTCATCGTTTGTTTCTGTAGGAAATTTATTGGATATTTCAGGAAGCATTTAGGCGCAAGAGAGATTCATCTGTTGAAGTTTTGAGGTGGATCCAGGCAAGTGTTTCTTACACGTGCTTCTTACACAGACAACTATTTTCAAAAGTGTGTTGCCAAGTTATTTTACCATATCAACTTACAGTTGCTCTTGCTAAGAGAGTAAGAGGTCATCTCACACATGCACACTGTTATACTAATCCTTTATATGGGTAATGTACTATTTTATGATCTTTTGTGAATCATCTTGGTGCTTCTGGTACTATTACACCTTATATGTTTCCCCAGAAAAAAGAAGAAGAAAATAGTAGTTTGATTACTAAGGTGATGGTAGTTACACATAGTATGCTCCTCAACTTTTTTGGTGCCCAGTAATTTCCCACAAGTGGGCTTGGGGAAGGTAACATGTACGCAGCCTTACCCCTACCCTGGAAGGATAGAGAGGCTGTTTCTAATAGACCCTCGGCTGGAGAACAGATGAAAAAAGGTAATGGCAATAAGTAGGAATAACAACCAGATAAAAAAGTCAGATCACAAGGAGAAAGTGGAAAAGAGGAAGGCAACTAACAATAGTATAATCATAAGAGCAATGCATGTGACTCGGACAGTACGAGACATGCGGGAAAGTTCTGATTATGGAAAAAACTGAAAAAGTATCAGAAGAAAATCAGGGCCTCATTTGTGAGACTGGGATGGAGTAAGAAAGGAAGTGTAATATAACAGAATGAAAATATTTCCTAGAAGAGAGCAAAGAAGAACCAGAATGTATATAGAAGGAAACACAATTTCCTAATCAACTTCTGAGTCCCCACAAAGAATGAACAAGTTCTGTAAGAAAAGCAGAAGCGTAAAACAAAATCTACAATAGTTACACACATAACGTGCAAACCCTTCCTTATCCACCCCTAGCATTTTTTTCTATCGTGAATTTTCATTCTAACATATTCTTTCCCATTTAATGCTTGTTTCCTGTGCAAATTTCAGGTTTCCCCATTTAATGCTTCTTTCCTGTGCAAATTTCAGGTTTTCCCATTTAATGTTTGGTGTCTGTTAACGCATAGTAAATTTTAATTGATATTGAATTAGAGTTCTAAATGTATCTTTTTAATTTGTGTATGATTTTATGAAATTTATCATTTGTAGATGCACAAATACATATACTTTTTAAGGTATATAAGAAGTTGCTAAACAGGATTGAAGGTAAGAGAATTGACACAATGTGCTATGTCTAACTTCATGCTCATTAGATGTTCAGTTAATGTATGAGGTCTACCCCAATGCTAGCTGCATTTGCTGGAAAGATTGAAGCTCGAGTTACTGCATATTGACGAGAAACCTTTCATGTCAAAACCGAAAACCGTGTAAAATAACAACTTTCCACAATTGTTCTGTGGACACAAGGAATTATTGCTCCGAATTTCTACTGCGAAGTGCTATATAGTCTTCTTTTACCTTTCTCTGGGAAATTTCGTTAGAAGTATGCAATGATTTCCTTAGACATTGTTTCTAATGTATTAAATATTTTTGGGATCGATGTGTTATGGGCATCTAAGTATCTACATTTAGGTACTTATGACACTTGCTTAATCTATTAAGAGTTTGCTTTTTGTACTATTTGACAAATAGTATTGCACTTTCTGTGTTGCTTATTCAGCGGATGTAACCACGGTTGAACCATAACTTGAATGTGACTTTGCTGCTTTGTGGAGCTAGCATTTTATCTACTACAGACATTGCTATAGATTTGCATCCTTATAATGGATAGATTCGACAAAGGCAGATATATTTGTCTTCCTAATAGTTAATGGCTTGTGAGGTAGGTTAGTTTTTTCAGCTGTTTTTTCACTTGATACAAATACCGCAACAATTGTGAATAAGATGGAAGAAAATTCAATTTTGATATATTCTAATCTTCATTTGGTTCCTTATTGCTAAATGGTATAAAATAATATTTTATATTGCAAAATTAGCATATCATGTAAGTGAATAATAATACATTCTAGAACAAACTTCAGACCCGTGCGTTGCACGGGCATCCACATCTAGTCTTCTATATGAGTAGGTTTTATTCGGTAATGTTGGCTTAAGTTAATTGTCTATTTGCAAGGTTTTAATAAATATTGGCTCCTTTACTCATCTTATTCAATTCAGTACATTTCACAGCACACAAAGCCATGGAATTTTTCGTCTCTTCATTTAGACGCATAGCATATCCAATTCCTCAAGAGCCTCACTATATATTTTTATGGTCTCTCTCTCTTCCCAATCTTTCCCCGTGAACTATGTAAAGTATGCATCTTTATATTCTTTCCGTTTTGGTAACAGTATTTTCTTCTTAATCAGTACAAATTAGAAGATCCCATTTGTGAATTTGAGTTAAAATTGTTTGTTCTTTTATGTGGGATTTCGTAGGAATGGAGCTAGGGCTGGTCACCTTGTTGAGAGCTGCATGGATTGCTGCCACCTTGCCCATAGTCATTTCTTTGATTCCTTCCTCAAAGCTTCGGTCTTTTCAACAATTTTTGTTAGGGTTTGCTAAGCGTGGCAAGATTATGCAATCCTCTTCAAGTGTAAGTAATCATTTAAAAACTTGTGTCTTGTGTATTTGTGTTCTTATAATGGATAGAGGCGGATCTACAGTGAACCCATTAGCTTTTGCCCATACATTGTGAATTTACTAAATATCTATACATATTTGACTGTTTATCACTATATTAACTTGAGTTTGCTGTAGGAACCCATAAACTTCAAATCATGCATTTGCCTTTCACAATAGGCTAATGTCTTTTCACATTATCAAAACATTTGATCAGACGTAATTCAATTGATTAAGTTTTCTTCTTAAATTGATCAATGTATGTTATTGGTCGTCGTGTAGTTTCCTGGTAAGAAATCAAATAATTCACCTCAAGAAAACCTTAGTGTTGTTAATAAGAAATTTGAGAGTTCAGACCTTAAATTTGACAGTTTCTCTGTGTTGTATGATCCCAGATCAACTGACCTGGAGTCTAATTGCTTAATATAAGTTACTTTTTTAGGGGGGAAATCTTTACATTTATACAGCCTGATCTCTTGAAGGCTGCTGCTGGAGCTAAGAAAATTAGAAGCGGATCTAAACAGGATATAAATGTTAACACGTGACTTTGGGGTGAAATTGGTTGGTTGGTAAAACATATCCCCCTGCAGCTAGGTCTCTAATCACCTCCATTGAATCAGCTAGATCAGTTTGAATTGGGAGCTAATAGTTCTTGTTGATGCAGATAAGATGAGATACATTAGTCCTTTGGGACCTAAAGTCAAACTGATTTTAGTTTGAATATGGCTTGAAGATTCAGGGATAGAATCCATATTATGTTGTACTGCTTCATATTTAGTTGTTTACTAGTAGAGTATTGCACTGATCAACTTTTTGGTAGTTGCCTGACCAATGCGTAGCTGAGTAGCACTTTCAGAATTTTTAGAGGTTCAAAATAAGGTTATCAGTGAATGCACTGTTTAATTTGTTCACTGATTTGTATTTTGTGAGGCACTAATAGAAGGGTTAGTCTTATTGGCCTTCCTTATATCATTCAGCTTTAAACATATAATTTTGTTGTTAGAAATAAGTTCTATTTCAAGTATTTGGTGAGTTGTCTTTTGTTTCAAGCTAAAGTATGTCGTATTTGTAACACTTGCATTAGCTAGAACAACCCCTCGAACTACTCTTTATGGATTAAGTAACTTCTGTGGTTGCAATGGTCATTTTGTGTTATGAGGATGCTCACTAGTATTTTTGATATTTATTCTTAATATCTTGGTTTCTTCTCTGACAACAGTTTTTTTCTATAAAAATAAATTTTCTGCAACGGTTGAAAAAAATATTCTGCGACAACTTTATTGACCTGTCACTTTCTTTGGCCTGTTTGTTCAATTGCAGAAACTCTCCGTTCCACAGAAACTCTTCATTCACTTCTATATTTTAGCTTTTGCCTGGACAACACTTCTGTTAGCTGCAACCTGGATTTATGCTTATAGTACAATGCCAAAGCTCTCGGAACCTTTGCTTTTTTCTAGTATTGTTAGCCACTTGACCGGAGGGTCGCGTATCTTCTCTTTACAAGGATCTCATTCATCAAAGGAACATAGAAGCAAGATTGGTTTATCAGTCTTTCTGCTTTTATTAATGGAAGCTCAAGTACTTCGACGCCTCTTTGAGTCAATATATGTGTTTAGATACAGTCCTTCAGCAAGGATGCACATTTTCGGCTATCTGACAGGTTTATTGTAAGTTGGCATCTTACTTTGTTTCTTTTTCTAGTAAAATATATGTATACTTCGTGTTGCGTTTTATTAGCTGGGTAAGTAAACATAGTTTAGCGTAGTCAAGGTGGATTATCAGCTAGTAGACTGTCTAAGGTTAGAGCCTTGTTTCTGTGTGTTTGTTGTTCTCTTTTTCGTGTGTTATTCTCTTTTCTTTTAGATGAACTTCAGTATTGGCCGTCCTTTCTATTTTAATTTTGATCAGAACTTCATTGGCCTAGTACACATTAAGAAATAGTAAAATGGTCTTATGATTTAGACACTACCTTTTTACACTTGCTGAAATTGAAACAACAATCTGACCATGAGTTTCGGATCTTAAATTCTTCATCCCTATATAGGATTTCCAACTACGCTTATTTTTGTACACAACATTGTTATTTGTATAATAAATTATTTGAAATGATTCACACTCCATAGAAATCTTAGTCCCATTTCATGTTTGGTGACAATATTAGTAAATTCTCTTTTAGTACCAATTTTTTTTGTCGTTTCCATGACACAAACTCCAAGTTATCAGATGCACAGAACTCTTACTGAATTATTTTTTCTTGATTCAAGCTTCTATACAGCAGGTCCCCTCTCTCTTTGCTGCAATTATGGTACAGAGGTATACAAGTTTGGGTTGAGTTTGATTCAAGAGTTTATTGTTAAAGGGAAAGATAGGATGCTAGTAACTGAAGTTGATTGGTGGAGATTTTTGAACCCTCTCATGCAACAAAGATGGTACGCATGGATTGGTGCAGCTATTTTCTGTTGGGGATGGATTCATCAACGCCGGTGTCATGCAATTCTTGTAAGTGGCATATGCTAGTGATGAAAATTTAGATTGTCTTTGAAGTTAGGACTGTCTTTCGGTCACTTGGTTAATTTATTACGTGCTTATCCTTGTGATTATCTCTCTTATATGGGAAATTCTTAGTTCCTAATTATCTTGTAGAAGAAGATAGGCTTTTGGCATTTTCATGAATACCTAAAATAGGTTTAAATTGTATTTCTAAAGAAAATCGCTTAAAAGCACTGATCATACTTCCTGTGACAAAATTGCTTTCACTCTCTGAGCCATCCATTCTCATTGACTTGAACTCACCCACATTCATCAATTCCAAGTACAATCCACGTCACAATTAAATTTTCTTCCGGTTATGTGAATTTTTCGAAGATAGAGCTATAAGAGCAGAAAAATATTATTTTGTTCCAAGAATTTAACTTAAAACATGTAGTAATGTGTGTGGCATATTGGGAGTAGCTATGTCCTGATTGATTTGAAGCAAAAGCACTTCTGAGTTTTAGGTTAGAGTCAACTGACCTTTTTTTTTTTGCGTCCACGTGATTGTTTTTGGGGCTAAATATACCTGGGGCTATACACCTATCCAAAAAATGATAAGCCAAAATCTCTATCTATTCATCATAAGTTCTACGTGCGATAATAGACAAAACTAGGTACGCCAATAGTGTAATGCTGGTCAAGGATGTAGCAAGATCGGAATATGTACCGACATTTAGAGATTTCGTAGGTTTTAAATGTCAATATGTGCGCATGGGAAATGGATCTCACCACCACTACGATTGACTGTTACACTTAGATTTTTTTGGTTTCATATGGTAGAATAGCAGATAAGGTGTTCTGAGTTCTGATAACTGTAGCTGCTCTAGATATTATTACTGTGATGTGATTTGACCTTGTAGTTGATTCTCATTGAGAGATTGTAAAGAAAAGGGATAAACAGATGCTAAGGTTGATTGGTAGCATAGGATTATAGCAGTGTTGTCAAAGGCTCATTTAAGGTACGCTTAAGCCCTGAAGCTCAGAAAAGCTCAGGGAGGGCGCTTCGCCTCCCTTAAGCTACGTTTCTTGTAGGAAAGGCACCAAGACCTGCCCCTTATTACCCATGCTTTCTATCTTAAATGGAGCAATACTAGACTACAAACATAATCGGCAAATAGGTATATTAGTTGTTAAGGAAAATAATATGAATGAGTTTGTTAGTTTTCTCTTGAATTATATATATATATATATATATATATATATATATATATATATATATTTTTTTTTTTCTTGCATTGCGCCTTTTATAACTAAATCCCACACTTATACTGCGCTTTGCGCTTAAAGCCCCAATGGACCTAGAGCGCTTTTTAGAGTTTTTCGCCTTTAACAACACTGGATTATAGTACTATGGTTGAATTAATAGCCTGTGAAGGTGAATAACCAAGCTTATACACTTTATTTAATGTATGTAAATAAAATCTGATACACTGGACTGTAAATGTAGTTCCATTAATAAACTGAAGAAATTGAAGTGAGAGGTTGAAACTGCTCTTACTTAAACTTACGGTGGTGCAAAGTACTTCATTACAACAAAAGTACAGGTGCTGATGATGTTTTGCTAACTTCTTTATCTGTTGTTTTTTACTCATATTCTGTTGGTTCTTAATATTCTCTCATATGATTTGCCCTGTTAAAATAAAGGTATTTCTCTTTCAACTTGACAGCTGATTCTTTTACGTTATGTTTGTGTCGGTTATTGAGGTGTAGTTTTTGTTGTATGCTTTTGTCAGTTATTCCATTAATGTTGACCATACAATTCTGTAGGTGTAGCTTCATCTTTGTGGTATAACATCTTTACTTTGCCAATCAGGGTTCACTCAGGGAGAACAGAGAACACAGTGATGATTATGTAGTCCCTCATGGTGATTGGTTTCAATATGTTTCATCTCCTCACTATTTGGCTGAGATTGTAACTTCTCTTTCTCTTACTAATGTTTTGTATTTTTCACGTTACCGACCTTTGTCAAGATCTAAATTACACGTTTCTTTTTGCTTTTTACTCGTACTGAAGGTTATATATGCTGGCTTTGTGGTTGCTAGTGGATGTTCAGACCTTACGATATGCCTACTCTGGGGATTTGTGGTACAACTCTGTTCATAGTCTTGAGAAGCACCCTCCACTTTCCCACCCTATTTCTTCCTTGCCCATGTTCACTTCTTCATGCGATGTTTACTTGTTTTCTGCAACGTGATGCGTCATCGTGTTGCAATTGCAGGTGGCAAATCTTGTCTTAGCAGCAGCAGAAACACATAGATGGTATCTGCATAAGTTTGACAACTATCCTCGGAATCGTTTTGCTATTTTCCCATTTGCTTATTAATATGCTTTATGTCCAAGTTTCACTATATTATTTCTTTGAGCGGAACTGTGACTCTATATAGGTTTTGTAAGCTAGATGTGATTTGTTTCTTGGGTTAGCTGGTAGAAACTGTGTCCTAGCCATGGATGCAGATCTGTGGATCAAAATCTTGGCCAACTTTTTTAGTGAGTCAATGGGAGCAATTGTGGTTTGCCCTTTTGGATTTTAACTATAGCTTCCTTATCATGCAACATAAATAATTGAAGATTGTGGATGTTGCAGCAGAAGTTACATGAATAAGATCACATTGTCATCAACGTTACTCGGATCCTCAAAACATCGTACTTGTGTTGGATTCTTAGAAAATGCAAGCCATATCTCATTCAATATTAAATATAACTTAGCTTTCAACAAGCAAACCCCTCTAATCTTAAAATTATGCAACAACTAAGAGGGTGTTTGGCTAAGCTTATAAGCTGGTCAAGCTGGCTTATAAGCACTTTTTGGCTTATCTATGCGTTTGGTAAAATTAAAAGTGCTTATAAGTTAAGTACTGACTTATAAGCACTTTTTGGCTTATCTATGTGTTTGGTAAAATTAAAAGTGCTTATAAGTTAAGTGCTTATAAGCCAAAAATAAGTCAAAAGTCATAAGTTGGCCTTCCCCAACTTATCAAATTTCAGCTTATAAGCACTTTAGGTTTGACCAAAATATTTACTATTCTATCCCTAAAATACTTTTTTTAAAACAAAACTCTTTGTATACCCAATTTTTTAGCTGCTTATTATTAATTTCAGCATTTTTATCCAAACACGTAACTGCTTATTTTTAAATCAGCTTCAGCACTTAAGAGTGCTTTTCAGCACCTATGCTTATCAGCTACTCTAAATCAGCTAAGCCAAACGGGCTCTAATTCAATCTCCAGATGTTGGATACCTGCACCTGTATCCGAGCAACACAGACAGTTAATTACGATCGCTTGATCTCAAATTTCCCTATTATTCGACTTCTGTTCTAACGTATCTCATTCAGATGATAAACTTAACGTAAATTTCATTAGACAGGCATTTATGTAAGCAGCTGAATTTTGAGTCTGTTTAACTCAACAAATAGTTTTAATCGCCTTTAGATGGGAGATGCGTTTCCCCGAGAAAGAGGGCATCTGCTCTCCCAGAAACTCAACCACCAGGGCTATCCATCATCCTTGATACAAGTTTGAAATAAAGAAACATAAGATACGCTACCCTCCCTAGACCCCACTTGTGAGATTACACTGGTTTGTTGTTGTAAGATACAATCCAACTAATACCTTACCTAACATCATCTCACTTGGCCAAGTTCAAATCGGATGTAGGTCTGACAAGCTCAGTCCCTTTTCATGGTCGTCAACGAGACGTCAAGCACGAAACTGCTTAGGCATACAGATCTATGCCCCAGAACTTTGCAGGTTGATTGGTCCTATAATTGCGGTCCAAACTTTTGACGAGGTTCATGTCTTCTTTGGTGAGCTCGAAGTCGAGAACGTTGAAATTCTCCTGCAGTCTCTCCAGTTTTGATGATTTAGGAATCACAACTGTGTTTCGCTGGATGCCCCAGCGCAGAACAACCTGGGCCACAGTCTTCTTATATTTCTCAGCTAGACCCTGATGCAATAAATAGCAAACATAACTTAAGTTACAACAAACCAGCAATTTGAATCAAATCTTTGCAAAACTTTCACAAGAACAGTTCATAAAATATAGAAAATATAACAGCACAAGGATTTACTTTTAGAGCTGGATCCTCCAGGCATGATACTGTACCAAACCATTCAGTATTAGCGGCAGCACCACCCAGAGGTGTGTGGGCTGTAACGCAGATGCCATGCTTTTGACAGAATTTGACAAGAGATTCACGCTGGAAGTAAGGATGAGTCTCGATTTGATTCACAGCAGGCTTCACTTTGGAATATGCTAAGCAATCCCGGGTAAGGAAAATGTCATAGTTGCTGCAGATCAATTTCCGTTATAAGATTAAGAATAAAGTTTAGTCGTTAAAAAAATCAGTTAAACTTGATTTATAAAGTTGCATACTCTTCTATGCAAGGATGCACCATATTTGAAAGTAAGCCTGTAAAGTAGTAGGTCGAAGAGTTGATTTCACAACTAGTGCATACTGAATTCAAAATTCAAAGAAATGATGCTCATTTCAAGCACTACGGAGTACGGACCAATAAAGTATGTGTTTTGCCGTCTGAATACACATTGCACATGGAACCATCAGAACACTGCCTATATACATATTATTTACAGAAACATGTTATATCATAATGCATTTATAAAGTAAGTTAGAGAACTAATAGGAACTACGCAAAATACGAGGAATAAACATCCAGTTAAACAGTCGAGCCTCTCTTTAATGCCTGACTTCAGCTACTAATTATCAGTATTCAGTAGCATGATCGCATCATGAAGGATGTCGAAATTGAACGTGCTACCTAATAAAAGCTTGAATAAAGGGGAGCATAGATTTTTAAGCTGTAGTATACCTGATCCCTATGCTACGAACCAAGCCGAGAGAGACTAAATTTTCCATTGCATGCCAAGTAGTCTCCAATGATATGGTAGTGTCGATATCCAGAACACCATCCTCACCCAATGCACTAGCTGTTGTACCAACTCCTACATGCATGTAAAGCAACAGAACTTAGCCATTTCAAAAGTACACAAAGTTCTTGCTTTCAGGCAAACTCGATCAACTATTTTACAGCACATTGATCACTAACTACTTCATGCGATGTGATTGTACCAAATATCAAAGAAAGTATGATCTTGGTGACTAGTTATTCAGGTTTTCAGTGGCATCAATATTTGGACATCGGAAAAGTTTATGCATAGGTATTCAGCCAAAAGATCATTATGTGTCAGTTGATATCAGCAGGCCAGTTGTCCGAAACAGGTGTTTTTGTGATACCATTGTTATGTTCAGCAGTCTTCAGTATAAATGTGCACTTGAAACAATAGTCAGGATATGAACAATAAAGATGCAATTGGTACAATGTCCTATCAGCTATGAGTTCTGGCCTCTTTCACTCTTAATCACAACCCCAAAACAAACAGAAACATGGAATAAATACACTTAAGTGTGAAGAAAGTTGAAGGAAAAAAGGCTAGCAGTGCCACCTGTATGTCTTGTGGCTACGGGGAAGTGAACAAGGTAGAGATCCAAGTAATCCAGGCGTAACTTCTTAAGGCTGTCTTTACAGGCCTCAAGAACATGACCATGATCTGAGTTCCAAAGCTGCAGAAAGGACAGGTAAATATGCAATTCACTATTCACAGCAAAATCCAAAAACTATGTAAACAAATGAAATTAACATTCTAACACTGACCTTGGTTGTAATGAAAAGATCCTTCCTCTTCACGAGCCCCGTTTGAAAAGCTTCTGCAAGTGCTTCCCCAACTTCAGCTTCGTTTTGATAGTCAGCTGCAAGCAAATACCAAATGTCAAATCACCAGTGTTGTAAAAGGCGAAAAGCTCTAAAAAGCGCTCTAGGTAAGCGCAAAGCGCACTTAAAGTGCGAGGCTTTAGTAAAAAAAGGCGCAATGAAGGGAAAAAAAAACAAAAATATATATGTAATTCAAGAATAAAGTAACAAATTCATTCATAATGCTTCCCTTAGCAGCTGATACACTTATTTTCGATTATATTTGTTGTTTAGTGCTGCTTGATTCAACAGAGAACTCGTGGGCAATGAGACGCAAGCCTTAGTGCCTTGCCTTACACTGAACCGCAACTTAAGCAACGCGAAGCTCTCTTAGAAATACTGAATTTGCAACGCCAAACACATACTATCTTTTAACTACAATTTTTTAACTATATATGTAATTCAATACCAGCTGCTCAAAGGGTGCGTACCCTCTAATAGGAAACGAAAGCTTCTATATCAAAATCATTCAGGGAGGGGAAGTAGAATTGTTTTAAAGGATAAATAACACTAGAAAGTACATATCCAGAACTAACCGTGTGTAAAAATCTGGAAATCACATTCAGCTAGTAATCCAAATGAGGGGCGGGGCTTTTTTGTATCTATCAACAGCGTAAAGAGAAAGAGAAGAGAGTGTGTTACCAGCACAATCAAAGTGACGGTAGCCAATTTTGATGGCGTTAATGATAAGATCTTTTATATCTTTGCCTTCCATTCGCCAAACACCGAGTCCGACTATCGGCATCTTGAAGCCGCTGTTGAGTGTAATCGCCATTTCTGCAGATTTTTCAAATCTTTGGGACTTGATTGCTTGGAACTTGTGAATCTGTAATAATTGAGGTTTTGCTTCCTATTATATAGATGGGCTCATGGGCCTAACATATGGGCTCCCAAATGTTTATAAACTTAGCATGTTGGCCCAATTAGTCCAATGGTTTTCCCACATCAAGTCCGAATGCCAAAGTAAATTGAATGAATTAAGCTCTTTCTTGGACGATCACCTGGACCTTGGTCGGCTACCAAAAGACATTTGAAAAGAAGCACGTTTGAAATTTCATTTGAAGCTTATATTCGCTAACATCTATAATAATTTTTTTCACTATAAGTGTAATTTAATCTGCTATAAAAAATTATGTGTCTTATTATTTTCTTGTAGTAGAAGTTAATGTTTGGCAATGACGCGTGGTTATTATTGTTGTTGTTTTGGAAATGAGGCCTTGCCATAGTCTATGGGGTTTTTTCACTTTTAGTTTGGACAAAAATTATTTACATTTGATAGCCGAAAAAGTGTGTCTATATATATATATATATATATATATATATATATATATATTATTTTGAGAGCTACTATACAATATCCTTTTCCCCAGTCTATTTGTCCAGATATTTTACCAAGCAAATGGCAATATTCCTCAAAAGTGCAATATATATTCGATATACTTCTGATTTAGTTTTTAACAACCCTTTGTATTGATCTAAATTAGGCGGCTTGGTAATAATAGATAAATGGGACCAAGGACGGGGTCGGCCACGGTGTAATAGCAGGAAGCCGTTGTCAAAGACGAGCAGCTGAAGTAGGGAAATAACGGTAAGATATGTTCAGATGAGGACACAAGGAATATTCCTTTGGATATTCCTTGTTTTGTACTTTTTAGAGTTTCTTGGGAATATCCCTTATAAATAGGAAAAGATAGAGAATAAAAGGGGATCTTCACTTTTTGATAAGAACACATTGTAAAGGTTGACTGGGAAAGAATATACAAAAGTTGTCTTGTTCACTGATTATATTATTGAAACACACGTTGCTCAATCTTTGTTCACAAGATCCAAAGATTCCATATCCATCTTCACTTCTCATCCTTCCATGTCGCTGACAACAGAAAGGAACACCCCAATCATACAATAATTGGGTGGTAGATCCTTTCTTATTACATTTATTGCCATTATCTACATTTATTGCATGTTTATATCACCATACTCATTGATAATCATTGAATATTAAATCTACTATTTAATACTCCTGGACATTACTCATCTCGCAAATATCCTATAATATTTGATCTAGGATCTATTAAATCTAACTAAGATTCACCCTTTACTTCATCATTAATTGGTTTAACACTTTTTGGTCAAACAATTTAGCGCCGTCTGTAGGGAGGTTTTAGTTAAAATTTTAGTTCTTTCTTGATCATAAAATAGGACAGCCATATTTTCTTCGTTTGCACAAACTAACAATGGCAGGAAAAGGAGATGCAAGACAGAAAGCAATAGCGGGTGCCACTACCAACATTTTGAACACCATCAACGAGGATGATAGAGAAGACAATGAGAATGTGACGCCAAGCGTTTCGCCCAGGCGAAGTGATTCATCTCCCCCTCATGAAAGTATAACCGCTTCACGCGAAAAGGGAGCTTCCACGTGCACAGTTGAGGAAGCACCACCAGTAGTGAAAAGATTACTGGAGGAGTGGCTGACAAGTACTCTAAATAACATACTCAACAAAACCGTTCAAAAGGAGAATAGAAACGTCGCGCAAGCAGATACCACAGCGACCACCGGCGAACAACCCGCTCCCCCAACAGGTAACACTTATACCACTATTGATGCAGGTAATGACGCACTTGCAGCCGTTCTAAAGAAAATAAAAGAAATAGAAAACGATAACAAAGCACTCCGCGTCCAGATGAGGGAACACCAAGAAAGGGTCGATAAGATACCGGGCGCCCAGAGCTGCTACTGAAATGGGATGTTGGCCGGTTCGTCGAACAACCGCCAGCGAGGAGGCGGCTCCACATGCAATACCTAAGACCTTCAAAATGCCACCGTATTTGAAGATATACGACGGTACTACAGACCCCGAAGATCATATCATTCATTATGTCACAGCGGTGAAAGGCAACGACCTTTCGAAGGAGCAAGTACCATCAATGCTACTGAAAAAGTTCAACGAGACCCTAATGGGGGGAAGCCTTAACCTGGTATTCACAATTACCGGCACGCTTGATAACAACGTTCGAAGAAATGCCCAATAAGTTCGTCACCGCCTACGCTGGGGCTAAAAAGGCGGAGGCCGGAGTAATAATATATTCGCCATTAGACAATCGTCTGGCGAGGGACTCAGGGACTTTCTCGCCCGGTTTAATAGAGTAAGAATGAGCCTACCATATGTATCAGAAAGGATGGCGGTGGCAGCTTTCCAAAATGGGTTGAGCAGTAATGGGTCGAGAGCGACCCGAAAGTTATTAAGCAGACTCATGAAATATCCTCCTACCACTTGGGAAGAAATTCACAACACCTACTGTGCCGAGGTGAGAGCAGACAAGGACGACCTTAACGGTCCGACCCAACGGTTAATGTCAGTCCAAACTGAGTCGAGGAAAGACCGTCGTAACGATGGTCGAAGAGATCAGTCAGGTCCCCGCCTCAACCGAGAAAGGCATCAGCCCTATGTTAGAACAGTCATACCACCATCTCTTCGACATGCGGAAGGGCCGTCCAGGCCACATACAAGGACTCAGCGAAACGAAAGAGGTATGCCTCCACTCTTATCTGCTTATAATTTTTGTGTTTCTCCTTCAGAAATAGTGTACGCATTAGAAAAGCTCGGCACAAAGGTGAAGTGGCCGCAAAAAATGAAGTCTGACCCAAGTACCCAAAAGTCGAACGTCCTTTGTGAATTTCACCAGGAACGAGGCCACAAAACCGAGGATTGCATAGCTCTATGGCAAGAATTAGTGAACATGCTGAACCAAGGGCACCTGAGGGAGCTGATGAGCGACCGATGGCGAGCTGACTTCGGCCGTGGACGAGAACAACACCAAGGCCCTCCAAAGACACCCTCCCCCGCCTGGACCATCCAAATGATCAGCAGTGGAAGCGACGAAGCAGCAATCAACCATGTGAAGTTTACCACCGCACATAAACTGAAAAGGTCGATCACACATGAACGGCATGATGACATCGATTTGGCTTTTCCTCATTCAGACGCTCTTGTCATTACTTTACGTATTTTGGACACAGATATGAAAAGGATAGTGGTAGACGATGGAACCGGCGCGTGTATTATCCACCCTCGAGTTCTCGTGAAAATGAGACTCGAGGACAAGATAGCTGCATAACACTAATAGGTTTTAACAATGCAGTTGAGCGAACCTCGGGGGAGATAACGCTACCCGTTCTAGCTGGGGTTGTCACCCTAGAAACGACGTTCCATGTCATGAACTAGGACATGACTTATAACTCTATCATAGGGCGACCGTGGATACACGCCATGAGGGCCATCCCGTCCAGCCTGTATCAAGTAATCAAGTTCCCTACTCCTTGGGGGATATTCAGCATCCGAGGCGAACAACAAACAGCCCAAGAGTGCTATCGCATCGCTCGGGATTGTACATACACTCAACAATTGAATGGAACAGACTCAGAAGCATAGCAATTACCCATGCCGGGGGCCGAAATCGACGCACCAAAAGACATCATCAAAGACCCCGACATAGTAGAAGCTGCAGGGTCAATGGTAGAAGACCTTGATCCCGTACAACTAGATAACAACGACAACAGCAAAAAGGCTTACATCGGCCACAAACTATCCGAACCAGGTAATTTTCATAAATTTTTAATTGACAACGCCGATTTGTTCGCTTTCTCCCATGCATATATGCCAGGTATCCCTAAAGACGTTGCCACACACAAGTTGAACATCGACCCACTCCAGCCTCCAGTATGACAAGTAAAAAGAAAATTCAATGCCGCAATCAACGAGGCCTTTATCGATGTGGTAGAAAAGCTACTCGCCAACGGTTCCATCCAAGAATCAGAATACCCCCAATGGGTCGGTAATGTAGTTATGGTGAAATAGAAAAATGGGAAGTGGCAGATGTGCGTGGATTTCACAGACCTAAACAACGCCTGCACGAAAGACTCCTTCCCGTTGCCTCATATCGATTAGCTCATCAATGCAACAGCAGGGAACGAGTTGTTAAGCTTCTTGGACGCCTACTCAAGTTACAACCAAATCCTCATGGAGGAAGAGGACCAGAAAAAGGCTACTTTCATCACCCATCAGGGAACGTACTGCTACAGAGTCATGCCATTCGGGTTGAAGAACGCAAGAGCAACTTATCAAAGGTTGGTCATCAAGATGTTCAAGAATCAACTCGGCAAAACAATGGAAGTCTACATCGATGACATATTGGTAAAATAAAAAAAGAAGGAAGATCACATCGACCACCTGAAAGAGGCATTCGGTATATTAAGGCAGTAAGGCATGAAACTGAACCCCGAAAACTATGCCTTCGGCGTTACTTCGGGCAAGTTCCTCGGCTTCCTGGTATCACAAAGAGGCATCGAGGTCAACCCCGACCAAATCAAAGCCATTGAGGGAATATCTGAAGTATTAACCAGCAAGAAACAGGTGCAAAAGCTAACAGGCCGTATAGCCGCCCTATCAAGGTTCATCTCACGATCCTCTGACAGGTGCTACAAATTCTTCAACGTATTCAAAAAGGACAATGGGCTCCAATGGAATTCAGAATGCATCGAAGCCTTAAGAGAACTAAAAGCATACTTGTCCTCGCCGCCACTACTTGCCAAAGCAGAACCTGGCGAACGCCTCCTGGTATACTTGGCCTCGCGGTAATCACGATGTTGGTCCGAGAAAATAAAGTTACGCAATCTCCAATCTATTACATCGGCAAAATCCTAGTCAACGCCGAAACGAGGTACCCCCACCTCGTAAAATTGGCCTTAGCATTGGTTATAGCTTCATGAAAGCTTAGACCCTATTTCTAATGCCACCCCATATCGATGGTGACGACCTTCCCCCTATGAAGCATCCTACATAAATCCGAACAGTCAGGGAGATTGGCCAAGTGGGCCATAGAATTGAGCGAGCATGACATAACATATCAGCCGCGAACAACGATAAAATCGCAGGTGCTTGCCGATTTTGTTGCCGATTTCAGCGCCAAAATAATGGCTGAGGTCGAGCAAGAAACTTCTCGTACCTCCCCCGGGGTACCCGCCCTATGGGTCCTATACATCGATGGTGCATCCAACGCGTCAGGATATGGACCGGGACTTGTACTCCAGGTCCCAATAGGAGCAATTATCCGCCAATCTATACGGTGCCCAGATATGACTAACAATGAGGTCGAGTATGAGGCCTTAATTGTAGGACTTAAGCTAGCTCTCAAATACGGGGCACGGCGAGTCGTCCTTAGATGCGACTCACAACTCGTTATCAATAAGCTAGCTCTCAAATACGGGGCACGACGAGTCATCCTTAGATGTGACTCACAACTCGTCGTCAACCAAGTCACAGGGGTTTTCCAAATCAAGGAGCAGAGACTACAAAAGTACCAAGCAGAGATCCATAAAATGCTGCCTGAATTCGATGAACGCCGACTCGACCAGATACCTTGAGCACAAAATATCGAAGCGGATGGACTCGCCAAGTTAGCACAAAATACTTTTTGGGGTGTGTAGACAATAAATTGCGTCAAGAAAATAAAATCAAGACCGAAAAATATCGCGACAATCGTAGTATTTGATTTTGAATATTTGAGTGTACAATCTCTATGAATCCTCTAATTCTTCTTTTCAATAGTAAATAAATTCAAGGGCCTTTGAGCTTGATCTTGAATCTATGTTTGTTGCTACGAACGATGATCTTGTTCTTGAGCTTGAGCTTGATTGTTTGAACTTGACCTTGATTTGTTCTTCGTTCTTGAGCTTGAATTTGATATCTTGAAGCCTGAACTTGTAGAGAAATTTTCGGCGTTTGATCCACGAGCTCTCTCTTGCTTCTTGTTATAACTTCCGGTGTCTTTTCTGAGTTATGAAGACCCCTATTTATAGTTGTGGGAGGGAAGAGTTATGATAAGAACAAACTCTTTCTGACCAATCAAATTGAAGTGTGACATGGCCGCATTTGATTGTCCAGAACTTGTCACTTGCACACATGGCACGATTTCATTGGCCTTTTAGTGTGACTTGGCATGCCTTGTCATTTTGACATGTGGCACAATCCTATTGGCTCTTCTGTTTGACTAGGCGCGCCACGTCATTTGACATGTGGCACCAAACTGGGCCTCTAGGAAGATGACATAGTGGGCTTAGTGAAGTGGGCTCATCACTTTAGCCCAATTAAATGGGCTAGCCCAATGGATTAAGACTTATTTATTTAATCCATATATATTGGACTTATACAATTAATTCAATTATATTAGCCCATAATATTTATTTGGACCAATATATCTTGAATTTAAAATATAGATCAAATTACTTTTATGGATTTAAATCCAGTAAATTTTGTATGCCTACAGGGTGGTCTTTAACTTTTGACATTCGATTGTCCCGTGGATAAAATTTGATGATTAAAAGTTAAAAGTATTGTTCGTGAGGCAAGTGAGAAACAACACTCGATAAACTTGAAGTTCTTCCTATGAGGCAAGCATGTACAAAAAATTTAAAACCATCAACTTTGAGGGCTATTTGTGTACTTCACCCGTTTTTGTTCAATTTCTTTTAATTACACATAAGGAAATGGTACGAGAAGAATGGGGTAGAGGATATGAGAAAACAAACCTTCATCTCCGTGAGGGACGTTTGGACAATTCACCAAATGAGTTTACCTTTAATTTACCAAAAAATGAATGAATTGATTGTTAACAATTAAGATGTTTAAGGATAAATATTAGTAGTACACTTTGTCACATAATTTTGCCAATACTTAATGCTTATTAATTACTTTTCGTTTAGCTAAGTCAAACTAGCTCTAATATAGTGCTTGGCCAATAGTAGAGGAACTAAAAGCAAATAGATAACGCAATAACTCAGGGATTATAAACACTATTTCTCTGTTCTTTTTCTTACGACCCATTCTTTTGGCGTATATTGTACTTAGCGTGCCTAAGTACAAATGATACTAATAATCAACATAGGATGACTACTAGCCTGTTTGGCCAAGCTGCTCAAAGTTAAAAGTAGCTTTTTCAACCAAAAAAAAATAATCAAAGTTGAAGTGTTTGGCCCAGTTTTTAGTGGAAAAAAATATTTTTGAGTAGAAGCAGAAAAAAGTAACTTCTCTCAAAGAACAATTTTTTTAAAAATACTTTTGAGAAAAATACACTTAGAAGCAATTTTTAAAAGTTTGGCTAAACACTAATTGCTACTCAAAAGTGCTTTTCAAATAAATTAATCAAACACTGAAGGAAAATATTTTATTATAAATTTCTGATAGCTCTCTACAAATCTCACAAATCTCCACACATAAAATAAAGTATCATTACCCCTATTTATAACAGTATGAAACCTATTTCAACTAGAAACAGGAAATCCTATTCCTATATTTATTCTAACTGCAAATCCTATTTAGAAATGAATTAAATAAACGAAAACCTAAATAATTAAGGTTTCCTACTACAACTTTGAATTAATTTTCCAACATTCTCCCTTAATTCAAAGTTTTATAAGTCTGACTTGTCGTTGTGTAGTTATGTTGGAGCACTTCTCTCCAACTCTCACTTTTGATGAAGCACATGTCTTCATCTCTCGATTTTTGTTGAAGCACCTGTCTCCAACTCACGTTGATGCACTTTTGTCACCAACCGTTGATGCACTTTGTCACCAACACTCAATTTTGTTGAAGCCCCTGTCTCCAATTCACGTTGATGCACTTTGTCACCAACCGTTGATGCACTTTGTCATAAACACCCAATTTTGTTGAAGCCCCTGTCTCCAACTCACGTTGATGCACTTTGTCACCAACCGTTGATGCACTTTGTCACCAACACCCAATTTCGTTGAAACTCATAATCAACTTCCAACTTTTTTTAAACCTCTCGAACTTTTAGAGAAGAGCTTCTTCATCTTGTGCCATATTGCACCTCTTTAAACTTGTTTTTTTTCTTGAATCTGTCATGAAACTTTTCATTGAATAACCTAATTTTGTCAACAACTATCTATGATTTTGCCAACATATTTTTTTTGGCCAGACGGGCGGCACACATTGGCTAGCACCGCCCGCCGGCAACGGAAGCTACTTGATTCTCTCCTAAGATCGTAGAAGATCTAATACCAATATGAAGGAAAATATTTTATTATAAATTTCTGATAGCTCTCTACAAATCTCACAAATCTCCACACATAAAATAAAGTATCAATACCCCTATTTATAATACTATGAAACCTATTTCAACTAGGAACAAGAAAGCCTATTCTTAT